AAAGGTCGCCCATTCACCACACAATTCGGTACTATTTAGTCACCGAAGTCACTGCGGTTTCGTTTGGTTTAGTTTTCTGTTAAGTTTTTGTTTTTCTTATTACGGTTGTTGTTGTTGTTCTTTATTCTACTATTCAGTTAAATGAATAAATGATTAATGTTTTCCTTTTCCATTTGTGTCATTCAAAGTTTTTCCTTTTTTCTCAGTTTGTCCATGGTTTTGTTTTTTTTTTTTCCTTTGTCTTTGGAAATTCCCCACTTGGGACAGGTGAGGGGTGCCCTTCTACTGGAGGGGAGGTCAATATTTTTGATTATTCTGAGTTTTATTTTAAATAAGAATAGTTAAGCTGAACGCGTTTCAAGCATTGCAGATTTGTCTCTATCGCAACCACAAACAGGGAAAAAGGATATGCCACCCAAAAAGTTAAAGGAGCCACTTGAAGCTAGTTTGTGAACACACACACACACACACATACAACCAAACACAAGGTGGGGGATAACAAACATGTGTTTATGGTTACACCCATAAATGTCAACTCGTTTATTTGATTTATTTAATGAAAGAGAGTGAATAGGAGAGAGGGTGTGAAGGAGAGAGAGAGAGTTTCACACACAAACTATGTTTCCAAAGTTTCTCTTCAAACTATCTCCCACCTCTCACATATGAAAGCTCCCGGCCAAAAATCTGTGCCATTTCCCACACATTTAAGACAATGCCACTGATGCGACGTCATTAGGGGTGACCGAGAATATGTCATCATTAAAATCAAAGAAGTGTCATTTGTGTCGCCTTAATTTATGGACAACGGTGTTGGTATTTGGGGGACGCTTTTTTGGGGGCGGTTTGCAAAATAAACCAGAATGGATGATAATGTTTTGAGAAGATGGATACTAATTTCCCGGAAGTTAACTTTTTGGGAGACGTTGGGGGAAGATGGTGGTACTTAAATGTCACATTTGTTTTAATCTATTCAAATTTGGGGATTATATCAAATTATCCCTAGATGGAGGATGAGTGGGGGACTTTATCTCCATGATCATGAAGCGGACGATACTCAAATCTTAATATCAACTTACTTTGATGTAACACTTGCGATGCAACAATCCCGTATAAAAGGTCCTCAGAGCTCTCCTATGCACAAAAGATTTTTTAAAGGTGACAGACAGTCCAGAGCTACACTATGAATGTAGAAATATTTTGGAGCCTTTAATAGAACAGAAACCTTCAAGAGGTGTTATAAAGACACAAATCCTTCCAGAGGACTTCTGTAAAGGGAAGACCTGGCCTTTGTTAAGGTCTTCTTTTTGCAGGTTTTTTATTGATGTTAGGTCTTTAAGAGGTCTTCTTTAGCTAGAGCTCCTTCCAAATGCCCTCTATGAAAATAAAACCTTTTAATGGTATTCTTTGGATAGAAAAACTTCTAGAGATATATAGTAAATACAAGACATTTTAGGGGTTATTTATGGATATGCCATATTCTAGTGGAATCTAATGGAAAGAAGTTCTTTCAGATTTTTTTCTGAATAAAAGACTTTCTACAGATTTCCATTCCATTTAGTCATAAATGGCTTCCTTGGGGTCTACGAATGATTAAAGATCTTCCAGAGGCTATTAATATGTAGAGAAGCTAATATGGATAACAGTCTTCTATTTGCGAAATCATCAAAGGTCCATAATTAATTGAAGACCTTTAGGAGGCCTCATTTAATTATCTTCCAGAGGTATTTGACGGAAATAATGCCTTTTAAAATTTTTCCAAAGGTATTGTATGGATAAAAGACTTTCTACAAAGGCAAGCTTTTTAGAGGTCTTCTCTGGATAGAAAAACTTACAGATATCTTTTTGGAATATCTTTTTAGAGTTATTTTATGGAAAGAAATTTTAGAGATATTCTTTAAAATAAGGTATTCAATAAAAGAGGTTGGCAAAAAACTCTTAGAAATGAACAATTTTTAAGAGTTCTTACAGGAAGACCCTTTTACTGAAAGACCCTTTCTGAAATACCCTTTAGAGAAAATTTATGATAAAATTAATAAGTTACTCTTCTAGAGGTCTTAAGTTCATAGACCTTCATAGAGTTTGCCAGATTATATAAGGCATTCGAAAGATCCTCTATGATTCTTCTTAAATTCATAGACCTTCATCGAGAGGTCTTCCATGAATAGAAAAATCTTATAAGAGTCTTCTATGGAAAAGAGACATTTTAAAGGTCTTCTATGGTTAGAAAAAGTTTTACAGTTCTTCTATGGACATCAGACCTTCTTGGACTCTTCAGTGAAAATGAGAACCTCTGGTGTCTTTCTATGAATATCAGATCCACAAGAGATTTTCTAAAGATTATTTCTTTTGTAAAATCTTCCTTGTAAAATCTTCTAACCATGTACGTATTATGTACATACAAGTCGCTGAGAAGATCTTCTATAGGTCCTCAGAAGGCCTTCCCGATCCCTTCTGTGGACTAAATGCCCTCGAGAGATTGTCTCGGAATAGATCTTTCAGAGATTTTTATTGTAGATGAGAGTCATCCAGAAGTCTTTTTATGATTGAGATCTTGCAGAGGTCTTCTTTGAATATAAATCTCACTTGAGTTCTTCTATGGGAAGATTGAAAATCATTTGGAGACCTTATGTGGGCAGACATATACTCGGTGTCTATTAAGAGTAGAAAACCTTCCAGAGTCCTTTTTCAGGCATGTTTTATGGATGGACCACCTTCTAGATCTCTTCTATAAGCCAGATAAACTTTAGAGTTTTTTTACAGAGATCAGAAATATGTGTTACACTCTCAACTCTAATTCGAGAGGGAGTACTCCTTTGAGTGAAAAAAAGAAATCGAACATACTCTATTTTTCTGTGCAAGTAACATATAAGTGAGTATAATTTTATCACTTTCGAGTTTCGCTCGAAATCGAGCAGATTTTACTCCTGTCGAGTACTCTTTTCGTTTTTGTCATGCTGTTGTTTTATCCCACGTCTCTAAAAAAATAATTACTTTTGGGTATAATTTTAAACATCCTAATTACAGGGTGAGATAAAAAAATGTAACAAAGTCAACTGCTGGACAACGAATATTTTCTCATAGAAGAAAACCAAATTGGCAGTTCACCACTTTCGGCCAAGCGGAGCAACTCTATAGCTCTTTTCAGTCTATTTTCTTTATTTTGCGGTGTAAGTTCTTGCTCCTTTTGGAATTTCAATGGCTTTACCCCGAGCTCACTTTTCAATATTTGCCGAATGGAGTATTGCGATCTGTTCAGCTCACGAGCCATTTTTCGGTCACTCCGACGCAGGTTTCGATCAGGTCGCTTCTTTACTTTTCGAACAATTTTTGCTGACGTTTCTGTTTTCTTCCGTTCACTTACTTGACGTCGGGCTACGCTACCAGTATCACGGTGCGGTATGAGCGATGGTACGAGACACAAAAGATATATGCACATTTAAATGCTGGACTGCTCTAACGATAGCCGCTTGTGGTTTTCCAGCCAAATATAAAGAAATCACACTATCACGCTTGAATTCCATCACGAATAATTTTTTTCTGGAAAATTCTCACCAAAATGCTTTTGTACACTTGTAAACAATATAATGAGCTGTCACTGGAATATTTTCAACAGCTATCGGGCGAGTGGCTAAGAAATGACAACAGTCTGAAATAGGTTGCAGTTGTTTCATCTCACCCTGCATATGGTGGAGAGTATATAAAATTCTTATAAAAAATAAATGGTCGCTACACAAAATATCATTACCAAATAACAAGTGTTGTAAGGACATTTTGGCACTAGTTACTACTTACAAGACAGCATCCTAACCCCTTACTTAAACTTAAAGAGCCGATCAAATAGTACACAAAATTAGTCTTTCGTTTTTTTTTTTTTTTTTTTTTGTAGAAACGCCATAAGGGAGAGCCTGGGGGTTTAGACCAAAAGTACACTGGATGGATGTCATATTGGACATACCTGTTTTGGCATACGGGTGCCTCATTTGATGGCACCCGCCTAACTCCAGCGTACTCATGTTCTATGCTTGATATGCAAAAGAAACGTTTTTTGGTGGAGTTTCTTGCAATCAAAGAAACAACGGTAAAAATGTTGCGAATGTATTCCCTCATAATTTATTTATTGTCAGGTTTAAGTCTCACTCCTTCTAGCACTTCTCCAAAAAAAGGACAACATTTTGAAAAATTATATCTTATCTATCGACCCACCCTTTCTGGTACCTCGCATGACAGTCCAAACTTATTAAATTGTAATGTTATTGTCAAACTTAAGTCCGGTTCGAAAAAGGACTACATTAGCTCACTCCGTCCGCTGGCTCCCTCCAGTGTTAATTTATAAGGGCACATAGAAGGGGTATGCGATCAAAACTGTGTCGAAATATCTGTTTAGACGAAATATATCGAAATTAAATACGCAGACAACTTCTGTCGTCTGCTTCCTCTCAGGAAACTCTGTTTTTATTTATTTCCATCGAATTTTATAAATATCCCCAAGTCCCTAACTTCTGCTTTCCATTTTCTACAACATGTGTTTATTCTTATTCGTATCTTCACGGAAGTCATTGAAAAGAATAAAATATAAAATCAATTTATGTTTAGAAGAAACTACCATCCAACCTAACCGATATCAGCTATAAAATATTCAAAGCGATTTCTCCGAATTGCTGCAATTTTTTCCTTTGGCATGCCATTCAACGATTTCTATTTTATTTTGTAATGGTTTGGATATTTTAAAGTGCTGATTTGTATTGTTATTGTGAGGGGGAAGGGGGATGGGGAATGCTTGGGATAGGATAGAATAGTGACGGGTTAAGTGTAGAATCCCTTTTGGTGTTATCGGTATTTTTTCGCTTGTTTCGTTTTATTGTGTCACTTAAAGTGATGCCAAGCAAGTGTCGGGCCTTGATGGGGATCAGAAGGATACATGGTATGGGTGGGTGTGGGGGTGAGCAGCAGTAGCTAGGAGGCAGCACGTGGTCAACTACTACTAATGCAGATGTACATACCTGTCATCTGTGGGCTTGTACGTAACAATGTACTTCTCGACGGGATGTGCATTCAAATCGATCATCGTCTGCCAGGAGACGCGCACTGTGGTCGGCGTCAGAAAGGTTACCGTTATGTTTTCCGGTGTAGCAGGTATTGTACCTAAAAATAGAAAAAAAGAAACAAAACGGAAATGTTAGAAAAACAAAAATAACATCAGAGAGGAAAATATCTACAGTAAAGTAAATACCGGACAAAAAACAACAACAAACCTACATCACGGCTAAATCCTAAATCGTGAAATGAATAAAATCAACGTCACATACATTGTCAGGGACACAATGACTGTAGAACTTTTATTAGGTAGATGGGGAGTGGACACTCGGAAAAAGGGGTAATTCAGTTCAGGCAATTGAAATTCAAGTCATTCAAAAATTGAACGGAAACTAACACATATTGACCACTAGTGTTGCTGGCAGCTTCTGGCGTGGGGAAGGGTAAGGGGACAAAAGTTACATCCATGTGAAAGAGGTCATTTGTTGAAGTGCCTCTGTTTTATAGTTTTTGTTGTTCTTGGTGCAAGGCAATCAGTAGATTGAAATTGGCTGTAGCTTCCACCAAAAAAATGTTTTCGAATACCTGAATTCGCCAAATTGCATCGATGTTTTTGAATTCGCTATTCAATGGAATTTTTCTGTTCATGCGGGAAATTTGCTGAGTGGTTGACATTTTGTAGGTTAGAATGAGAAGCAAATTCCCAATAAGGGGTTTATCCATAATGGCAGATGATTATGCAAAATGAGGATGTACAAACCACATCCTTATTATTGAACTGCTCTGGGTATTGAAAAGCTAATGGAAAACAGAAATTGGTAGATAAAATTTTTAAAATTTTAAAAATTTAAAATTTTATCATTTCATGTGATTTTGCGATTTTTTAAAGGTAGCTTCCGACCCAATTAGAAATGAGGAAATTACCATTATAAATAGTTTGTATGTATTGAAAAATTGATACGGAATGTTAAGTTTTTATTGCCCGAAAACGATGACAGAAATTTCACCTTTAGTCGTTGGTCGTACGTTATTTTGAACGAGAATCAATATTAGTTCGATTGAGTTTGGAATGATTAGATCAAATTTATTTAAAAAATAAAATAAATATTTTGAATTTACTAGAACTTCATATTCAGTTCTTTATGATATACACGGCGTATGATCAACATGCGAACGAATACGACGCCCATTCCCTATGTAATTCAAATAACTAAGGGCCTCTTTTTATACCCTCCACCTTAAAAAGGAGGGTATATTAACTTTGACATTCCGTTTGTAACATCCATAAATAATATACGTCCTTAACCCCATAAAGTATATATATTCATGATCGGCATAAAATTCTAAGTCGATTTAACGATGTGCGTCTGTCTGTCCGTGTGTCTGTTGAAATCACGATACAGTTCACATTATTTGACGTAGAGCTTAAAAATTTGGCAGAAAAATTTGTATTATGTCTAGGATGGTTGGTATTGAAAATGAGATATATCGGTCCACGTTTTGGTATAGCCGCCATATAAGGGTACCTCCCGATCTTTGGTATTACGATGATTTTAGCGACATTATTCACCGGAATTGTTTCAAATTTGGTATTTGAAGTTCGTAATGGATACTACAATCTGTGACAGAAAATTTTCTGTGCAGGTTCACGTCTTCGTATAGACCTCATATAACGGTACCTGCCGATATTCGGTATTTTGATGTTTTCAGCGAAATTATTCACCGGAATTGTTTAAAATTTGGTATTCCAAGTTAGTAATGGATACTACAGCCTGTGACAGAAAATTGTCAGTGCAGGTCCACGTCTTCGTATAGCCCTCATACAACGGTACCTCCCGATATTCGGTATTACGATGACTTTTGGTGACATTATTCACCGGAATTGTTTCAAATTTGGTATTTGAAGTTCGTAATGGATACTACAATCTGTGACAGAAAATTTTCTGCGCAGGTTCACGTCTTCGTATAGACCTCATATAACGGTATCTGCCGATACTCGGTATTTTGATGATTTTAGCCATATTATTCACCGGAATTGTTTAAAATTTGGTATTTGAAGTTAGTAACAGATACTACAGCCTGCGATAGAAAATTGTCTGTGCAGGTCCACGTATTCGTATAGACCCCATATAACGGTACCTCTCGATATTTGGTATTTTGTGATGTTAGAGTCATTTTCACCGGAATTGTTTAAAATTTGATATTTGAAGTTCGTCATGGATACTACAGCCTATGACAAAAAATTGTGTGTGCAGGTCCATGTTTTGGTATGGCCCCCATATAATTATACCTTCCGATATTCGGTATTTTGATGATATTAGCTATATTATTCACCGATTTTTTTTCAAGTTTCGCATTTGAATATTATGATTAAAGTTGCCTATGCAGGTCCACCTCGTCGTATTTTTAACGGTTTTTATTTTTTGAAAATTGCCAAATTCGTTCCAAATGGTGGAGGGTATTCAAGGACTTACAGCTTTTTTATTTGTCGTGGGACGACAAGCATGTGAATTCGAAAGAAAAAAAGGACCTCTACATGTGTATGTTTTTTTTTAATAAATAAAAATTGGAAAACAACAAGGAAAGGGTTTTATTCTTTCAATGGACTGCTGTAAAGGAAGAATTTAAGAAATATCTTGGAGAATGTGAGAAAAATTCCTGGTTCTGCTAGCCCTCAGGAAGACAACAAAACATAAGCTATATCCTGCAAAGAAAAACACAAAAAGGATCCAAGTTCTAAAATTCAAATTATTAGTAAAAACAAGTCATGGCTTCACTTGGAACAAATTGTACTTCTTTTGGAAGTTCGTACTTCGATATTTTGCTAGAAAAAAAAATACTTAATCCCGGATGTAGACCAGTACAAACTAAGGAGAGTCCTTACAGAGTTAAAAAAACTTCTGAGCGAGAGTGTTCGAAGAGTACGAATTTAACAGAAAGTTTACTCTCCACTTTTTATTTTTTTCGGATCGATCGCGAATTCTCCTGTTTGGAAAAAAAGAAGGTGGGAGTCAAAATGTTAAAAAAGTGAAAAGTTTATTCTAAGAATGCAATCGAAGGGGAGATCCATAAGCCAAGAAGAGAAAGACAGCAGAACCCAAATTTTGCCAGAGGGCCGTCGATTTTGTATACAAAGACAGCAAAAGCGTGATCACAATCCAGATATCCTTGGAACAGGTTGACGACAATGCTCTTGAAAAAATGCACATACTTACAAATAAAACATTAATATGACAATACCTAAAATATTAGTCAGCAAGAGTAGAATCTGATGGAATTCGTGTTCGAACTTTTCTCCAACGAGTAAACGATCAAAGTCTACTCCCTGTTATTTGAGTGGCATAGAAAAAATTTAACTCGATTTTTTTACTTATAGAAATATTTCCAAGTATATGCCATCGGTGTGGCACCGTTCAAAAATATCTAAGATATCCTCCATGGATGGTCATGTGGAGTTACCATTGACAATGAAATGGAGTATTCTTCCCGACGAATATTTCAGAAGTCCTGAAGATATTCTTCTATACGCTTTGAAGAAAATATTAATAAACATGATAAGGTTGTGTTTCAGGACAAGTTCAGTGAAAAAGTCTTTTAAGAAAAATCTGAAAAAAAGTATTTATATTAGGTCTGCAATTTTATAGATAAGCTGCAAGGAATTCTTCTACAGACAGGCTGTGAACTAAACAGAAGTCTTTCTAGGTGAGTTGGAGGGAAATTTTAAGGCAAGCTGGAGGTAGGACTTATCGGCGAGTTGAAGGTTGTCCATAAATACATGCTAAAAGAAGCTGAAGGCAGGGGAGAGTCTCTCTCTACGGACGAGGTGAAAGCAGGATGTATCTCCCTATAGACGAGGGAGTCTCTTCTATAGACGAACTGAGGTCACGGAGCCTCTTCTATAGATGGGCTAAGGTCAGGAGGGAGTATCCATTTGCTTTATAAATTATTTTGACAAACATACATGTCTAAAAACAATTAAATGAAATGGTAAAATATAAAGAGAAACAGAATTTTAATTTTCTCTTAAATTATCTCTTTTTTCGGCTCATGTTGTAGAACACGGTTTTGAGCAGGGCTGCTTTCTATATAGTCGAGTTGAAGGCAAAAGGGAGTCTCTCTTTATAAACGAGCCGAGAGATTTTACTAGACTGGCCCTGAGTTCTTAGTGGGCAAATATCAAAGCATAAAATAGTCGGTAGTTCCGCCGATCCTTTTTAATATACCTCTTCCTAAGCGAAAAATGTATTATTATTCTGGTTTTTGAATTCAAACGATGTTAACAGCTGTTTTAGCCCTTTTAAAACAAATTGCCTGTATGATGCATACTTTCAGGCGCACATTAATGATCAACAAACAAATAAAGTACAATTGTGTTTATATTACTTCCTCAGATTAAAATATATCTAATTTTATCGAATTTTATGTCTGTCTTATATTCGTATTTCCTTGCCATTGCCATCAAAGTTCAGCCAATAAGTAACATATCCGATTCAAATTAAATGATCTGATTTCACAAAGAAAAAAATGTATTCAAGCGCCAAAAATGACAAAGGCAGAAGAAGTTCATGTTGTCTTGGGATATATTACTCAGGAAATTTGCAAAGTTGCTTATGATTCATTGAATTACAACAGCGAACCATGTTGGGAATTTATGCGAAACGCCATCATTCATTTCTCATTACACATACACCCACGTATGCCAATACACGCACACACACGCACTCCTACATTAGTATGCACATATCAATATTAAATTTACAAGAAAATTAAGAAATTACATGGAATCCCTCAGGAGACTGTTGACTGTCTGTCTGTCTATCTCGCTGCCTACCAGTCAGCCAGACGCCAGACGCTCAGTCGTTTGACTGTTTAGCTGCTTAAAACAATTGCATTAATTTGTGACATGCTGTTGATAATACATTTGATACCTTTGATGATGATGATGATGGCGATGTGCCTCACTTTGTGACAGGTAATTAAAATATTAGATGGCATTGCTACTAGAAGTCGATGATGGTGATGAGGAGGGAGGGATGCCATGGCAATCGCAAGAACGCCTCATCCGAGGACCTTATCAAATATTCATTTGCAATGACATGGTTGGAATG